GAAAAGCAGAGTTACAGAGAGAAAGATCTTCCACTGGTCACAAATGACTGTAATGGCCAGAGCTGGGATGGTATGAAGCCAGAAGCAATGGGGGCTAGGCACAGAGACTTGAGCCATCTGCTGCTTTCCCAAACCATAAGCAGACAGCTAGATCAGAAGTAGAGCCAGTGTACAAACCTGTGCTCATATGGGCTGCTCGCCCTGCAGGCAGAGGCATCAACATCTCCTGGTATGCCATGGATGCCAGCCCGGGCATGAGTTTTTGAAATGCATGTGTAGGTAACATCTTTTTTTGGCATACTATGAAAAGAGACCAGATTCCCACTTTCATGCACTTTTGAAATACTCTGATAAGTATCTGTTATATTTTGAGCATTTATATTAAGCTTTATCAAACAGTTCAGACCTTTGTGTGATTTCCATGGTCCTGTTCCTGGCCTTCATCCATCCCCAAGAGAGAACTAGGGAGACTCGGGCCCCGAGTTTGTTTATGGTTCTGATTCGGGGATGAAGTGAAGAAGAGAAAGCGCAGAGCATATAAATTAGTAGACATCTGGTTTGAGAACTTATTTTCTCTTGTAGATATATTTTTCTTCTTTCTGTTTCGAAACAAACTTTTGCAAGTAAATGAAGTACAAATAAAGATGAGCCATGTTGGGAAGAAGGAACTGATGGAGAAGTTTTAATAATTAGGGGCTTTTGGAGACTTTTTGCGGGGGTGGGGGATACTTCTGAGACAGGTACTATTTCAGGGTAACTTTTTTTTTTTGAAAGATTTATTTATTTATTTAAAAGGCAGAGTTAGAGAGGAATAGCAAGGGGAGAGATCTTCCATTCTGTGGTTCATTTCCTAGTTGGCTACCCAGAACCAGGAGATTCTTCCATTTCTCCTGTATGGGTGCAGAGGCCGAAGCACTTGGACTGTCTTCCACTGCTTCCCAGGCACATTAGCAGGGAGCTGGATTGAAGTATAGCAGCTGTAACAGGAACCAGCGCCTATATTGGATGCTGGCACTTTAGGCTATTGCTTTACCTATCTGATAAAGACTCCCAGAATAACTCCTTAAACATTACTGTGTAGAAAAGCCTGGAACACACTGTTTACTTAAATCACCACCCCTGACCTCACCCCCACCATGGCGGAGGGCTCCTAGCTTCAGATTGGCTCAGCTCCAACCTTTGTGGGCACCTGGGGAGTGAATCAGTGGATGGAAGATCTTCCTCTCAGTCTCTCCTCCTCTCTGTATCTCTGACTCTCCAATAAAAATAAATAAATCTTTGAAGAAAAAAATGTGACTTAATCCGTTGCTTTACAAATGCCCCCTTCTATGGTGGAGGTGAGGGTAGGGGAGGTGATTTACCAACGGGTGATGTGACTGGCCCAGCCTGGTTGACCCCTGTTAGGCAAAATTTTTCATACCCTGTTTCAAAACACCTCAAAGACCCTAATAGTCTTTTGTTGCTTTTAATAGCTAAGATTTTTTGCATGTGAATCGTTATTTGCTTCTGGTAGTTCTTTTCCAAACCATTTCTAGGCCTTCAATCTCAAATTATTCTAAAGTTTTCAAGAGTAGTTAATAAGTTAATAAATAATAAATGATGTCTTCTTTAAATTGCTATTTTACCATATAGTCTGTATTAATTAATCACTTGTATGATCTATTTGTTTAAAATACAGAATAATTCTCCAAGTGCTTTTTCCCCTGTAAATAGTACCTGTAACCATGCTGTGTGGTACAACAGTGTTTCAAGCTGCTCTACTTTATGCCTGGAGACAAGCTTTTATTGCTATATTCCAATACCCAGCAGCAATTAGTATCACTTCAAATGACTGAATGGATCCCCAGATCTTTGCTAAGTCAGAGGGTGCAGAAAGCGATAAGGAGGGAGGACTCATAATCAAGGAACTCCAGACACTTTTCTCCACCCATATTTTGATAGGTAGACATATCATATGTGGTCTTAACTTAGCAGTAAAACCTTGAATACCTGTTGCTAAAAATAAGTGCTATAGAATTTCAAATATTGACTTACGGACCAAAAGATTTTTGGGCTGCAGTTGTTAATTAATAAAATGAAGACTTAAAATTTGTTTAATGAAAACCAGTCTCACTGCTTCAGTTGTATTGGTGTGGAAATTTTGCTTCTGAGTCAACACGAGCAGTACGAAGATAGGGAATTGCTACTTTAGAAATACTGACATATGAGGGTATAGAGTGAAGAATCCTGGTAGAGAATGTATAAAATAAATTAATTTCTGAAAATAAGGGTCTGAATATGTGCGAATTGCTATAATGCTGTTGTTCCCAAGCATTAGCAGTGCTTTTCTCACTCAAGAGAAAAATTGCATCAACAAATAATCTATGTACTGTCACTTGAATGGTACTGAAATGAACAGTTGTTTTATCTGTTACCTAGCTACTCCCAGCAGTCTGGAACTGCATGTTATGTGTTACAGTGGTCTTTGGTTTTATTCATAAGGCTGTCAAAACAACTTAGTGTAAGTAGAAAGAAATGAATTAAATGGATAGAGTGGATTAGCTATATTTGCTATAGTGTATACCAAAGGTGATAAATGTGAGAGTATATTAAGTTCCCAAGGTTATCCAACTTGATAATGCTGGAAAGAATGTTCTAAAAAAGGAACAGTGTCTTGGCTGTTTGGCCATTGAGGAATGAACTAGCAGATGGGAGATCTTTCTGTCTCTCTACTCTGTACATCCACCTTTCCAATAAAATGAATAAGTTAAAAAAATAATAATAGGAATTTCTCACAGTTTTAGAAATGTGCCAGTGTAGAGGCATCTACTGATGACTCGCTCTGGTTCATAGCTGGTATCTTCTAGCTCTGTTCTCATAGTTCCCTTGGGTCCTTTTTTATGAGAATGGTAATCACCTTTTGCATCACCTAATGATCTCCCCAAAGGCCTCACCTAATACTGTTGCCTTGGAAGTTAGCAAAAGTCATTGTTTTAAATGCTGTGATAGTGTATTCATCATTAATGCACACAGTAATATCTAGTGGGAGGTCTGGTTGTTAACATAACCTCAAAGTAATGATTAGTGTGTAAAATCATTTTGAGATTCCTGTAACCTTTACTATGTAATATTAAAGCTTTTGGTGGACAAAATCACAGATAATACTAAATACTACTAGATGTATATTTTGAAATTAAAGGAAATATCAAAAACTTTTTACAAGTGATTTAGTAGGTAAAAGATGCTGCCTGTGTGCGTGCCACTGTAAGCCCTGGTTGCTCCATTTCCAGGCCATCTCCCTGCTGGTATGCCTAGGAAGGCAGCAGGGGATGGCCAGGTGCTCCTGCCCATGCAGCAGCGCGAGATAGCTGGAGGAAGCTGCTGGCTTCTGCTGTGAAGCAGCACAGCTCCAGCTGCTGTAGTCTTTTGGGGGAAATGAACCACTAGATGGACAAATGTATTAGAGGGAGGAATCTGCTGCCACCTGCTGGTTCACTTCCCAAATGACACCAGTAGGTCTGGTTGTCCCTGGCAAGCAGCCAGGAACTTGCTTAGGAAATTGCAGACAGGTGGCGTCACTTGTTGCCCACCAGGGTGTGCAGGAAGCTGGAACCTGGCACAGAGCTGGACTCGCACCCAGGCACTTGAATGTGAGTGCCCCAAGTGATGTCTAAGCCATTGGGCCAAACACCTACTCCAATAGTGCATTTTCATTTCAGATTAATGAAGAGTAAAGGTATATTTTCTCTCAGGTTCATAAACTGTAAATAGGTTGTGCACTCTAAAACAGAATCCTATAGATAACTCTTACAAATATGTCCATAGAGATTATTAACATTGCACTATTATTTGCAATATTATAGTAGCCCCAAATGAGAAACAGCTCATCAAGATTCCATAATGGGGAAGCATATAAAGTATGATCAGATATTTCATTCACAGTATGAAAACCCACATAATAATAAGTGGTTCAAATTCAGGGTAGTGCTTATTCAAAAGTAAGGAGTAAGAATAAGAAAGCAAGCTAGTTACATGGAGAGCTTTAGATAACTAATTACTTAACAATACAATAAACGTTATTTTATGGTGTATGTTTAAGATCTGTATTGCATGCTTGGATATATACAGTTTGTTTTCCCTCTTCCTCCTCCTTGTTTTTTTTAAACTTTTAAAAAAGTTATTGGGAAGGCAGATATTACAGAGAGAAAAATCTTCTGTCTGCTGGTTCACTCCCCAAGTGAGCTAATCTGAAGCCAGGATCCAGGAACTTCTTTCCAGTGTTCCACGCGGGTGCAGGGTCCCAAGGCTCTGGACCGTCCTTGGCTGCTTTCCCAGGCCACAAGCAGGGAGCTAGGTGGGAAGTGGAGCTGCCGGGATCAGATAGATATGGCGTGTATGTGTGTAAGGCGAGGACTTCAGCCACTGGGCTGCTGTGCTGGGCCTACCTCCTTTTTAATTCCTTCTCCTTCTTCCTCTTCTTTCTCCTCATTCTTTCTTCTCTCTCTCTTTTTTTTCTCCTCTTTTATTTGAGCAGCAGAGAGCTGCAGAGAGATTTTCTAACACTGTTTTACTTCCCAAATGGCTAGCCCAAGCCTAACCCAGGAGCCAGGGACTTTTTCTGGGTCTGCCACATGGGTGTTAGGGATTTAAGCAAGGAGCCATCATCTGCCATTTCCCAGACATGTGAGTAGGGAGTGGGCGCTTGAGTGGACACTTAAGTATGGGATGGAGGTACCCAAGCATCAGCTTAACTTGATGATGCCGTAATTCCTGCCCCTAGTCTCTTTTTAATTCGCAAAACAACTCAGAATATACAATGTTGTAAAAAAAAAAATAGTAAATTGAGTACTTTCCTCCCTTTTACCCCTTCGGCTGGACTAGACTTGTGAACTAGACTTGTTATTAAACACTTTAGTGTTGCCTTTTTAATATTGTTGATGATTTAGTACATGTGTAGCATCTGAATTTTAACAGTATGACTTAATATTTTAAACAATATTCTGTTTTGCGTTTGATTTTAGGATCGAAAGTTAACCAAGTCTGAGAGGCAGAGATTTAAAGAAGAGGCTGAGATGTTAAAGGGGCTTCAGCACCCCAATATTGTTCGATTCTATGATTCCTGGGAATCCACTGTGAAAGGGAAGAAGTGCATTGTTTTGGTGACTGAACTTATGACATCTGGAACGCTTAAAACGTAAGTCTGTTAATATTGCAAAAACTGACCAGGAGCTGGGAGAATCTGATTTTATTTCACAGCCACTACTGCTAGCTTTGTCGCTCAGCCCAAGAAGGATGTATAGTATACTAGTGAGTATATCTTCTTGTTCACGTAGTCCTCTTACATGTGAGGTGATTTGATAATTATTTGTTGATAAAGTTTGAAATAAAAAGCTGCTGCAGGATTTATCTAATTACTTTAAGTTATATTGATTCATATTTCCAAAACTGAGTGGCTAAGTGAGCAAAAATAAAATGTAAAGACAGCCCTCTAGTGGTTAAAATGAGATTACATTTTACTTAGGTACCTCATCAATTTTCTTTGTATTGTTTTTTGATGCAATTATGTTATATGCAAATTATATTGCAATAATGATCACCAAAAAAACACTTTCAGTTCCGTTTCCCATTGTGTGAGATTTAAGCCAAAAGAGTTAGATCTGTTTTCTCTTTCAGGGAAACAGATGAAAGTGCAAAAATTCCATTACTCATTAAGAATGTTAGGTAAAAGAGTATGCTTTTGGAATCCCAGATTTAATTGATCTGTTTGCAGTCAGAGAACCTATTATATGGTTTAAGTTTTTCACTTTAGAGAGGCTTGGTTTTTTAAATATTTAACTATGGTGTGTATTTATTCTCTTTCAAAAATTACTCCAATGAGCTAATTAATTTCCACATAATCTATTATAATTTAGAATGTGTTTAACATATTTAAGATGTTGAATAATCCCAGCACTTGGGCTGATTAGTGCTACTTTGTTAAAGATTTATTTTTTATTATTTTTTTATTGGAAAGGCAGATATACAGAGAGGAGAGACAGAGAGGAAGATCTTCTGTCCGATGATTCACTCCCCAAGTGAGCGCAACGGGCCGATACTATGCCGATCCGAAGCCAGGAGCCTCTTCCGGGTCTCCCACATGGGTGCAGGTTCCCAAAGCTTTGGGCCGTCCTCGACTGCTTTCCCAGGCCACAGGCAGGGAGCTGGAAGGGAAGCAGGGCTGCCGGGATTAGAACCGGTGCCCATATGGGATCCCAGGCGTGCAAGGCGAGGACCTTTAACCACTTGCGCCACCGCACCGGGCCTGGCCTGATTAGTGCTACTTTGAAACATAGTATTATATCTCTGGGATATAGTCAACTTGAACATACCCTTGGAAACTCAAGATTAATAATATGACAAAAGGCCAACAGAGCGTTTGTTTCCTGTGGTCCTTATTTTCACTGCCTGCCTTTTCCAGTTCTGTCAGTGGTATCCTCTACTTTCTAGTAATCCAGGTTTCTTGTTATTCACGTGTCTGTTTCCTCTACTAAACTGTGCTACCTAGCACTGTATCTGAAACTTGATAATTATTTGGATGACTTATGGAGAATTGTGGTATTTATGTTTGTTTATGCACGATGAGAGTCTTCACTGGTTTGGATACTTGGTTGTCAGAAGTCTGTCAATCATGCTTAAGAATATCCTACAATATTTAACTTGTTTCATGAACTATTTAGAGAGACTTTGGGTAGTAATACAGGGGACTTATCCCTGCTGGTGTGGCTGTTCCCTAACAATAAACTAAAATGTGAATTTTGATCAGCGCTTTTCCAGTAAGTACTGAAGCTTCAAGGAGGGAAAAGATAACCCCAGATTAAAAAAATGAAGACGAGGTAATGTTACTCAAAGTACATTTCCTAGCTGTCTGTTGGGATTTCATGCCATGTATTGGGCTTGAGGAGTATAGATTGTTGTAGTTGTAATGTTCATACAATGACAAAAGACCTTGATATTCAGTGAAGTGGAGAGTAGGAACTCAGGCTTTGTCAGAAAATGGAAATATCTGTGCAAAGGGAGAACTTCGCACCACAGCTATTTGACACCACTACAAGGAGTTTGCTCCTTTGCTCAAGACTGTGGATGGAAAGCAGTCCATTTTTTAAAAATGAAAATTTCCATATCTTGTCCATTTTACCTCTTCAAATGTTTGCAGTGTTCATAGTTATTGAGCATTCTTCCATGTCATATAGATGACTTTAGTGTGCAGATTTTTCTACCTGAATGGTATAAGAATGCTAAGCCAATGCTTGTTGGCTTAGAAGCAAAGAAAACCCCCACAAATTATAAATCATATTGGTAAGACTAAACAGACACAATTGGAAAATAGCAGAACAACAATTAAAGATACTATGGATAAGTCTAAAAATGAATGCCAAATGAATATTTGAGTTACTCGTGTTTATTAAAGGAAAGGCAGATTTACAGAGAGAATGATCTTCCGTCCACTGGTTCATTCCCCATGTGGCTGCAATGGCTGGAGCTGAAGGAATCCAAAACCAGAAGTCAGAGCTTCTTGCAGGTCTCCCACACGGGGCTCAAGGCTTTCGCAGATCCTGGGCAGGAGCCAGATGGAGAGTGGAGCAGCTAGGCCATGTGGGATGCTAGTGCTTGCAGAGGGAGGATCAACCAGTGATACCCTTGTGCTAACCCCTAAGCAAGTTTTAAGAGAATCGAGGAACTAGAAATGAGAGCAAACTTAATTTTAAACTTCAGCAGTTAAGTTAAAGAATAGTGTAAAGTGAGAAAATGATAGCTCACACAGAGGATATATACAGGCTTTCCTTCCTTCCTTTCATTTATTTGTTTGTTTATTTGAAAGAGATTTTATCCACTGGTTCACTCCCCAGATACCTGCAACAGTCAGGGCTGAGCAAGGCAAAAACCAGGAACTTCATCTGAGCCTCCAGTGCGGGGGGCAGGGACATCACTCCTTGGGACCATCATTTGCTGCCTTCCAGGATGCATTAGCAGAAAGTTTCGTTGGAAGCAGAGCAGACAGTTAGTACTCAAACGGACACTTCAATATGGGACAGGTCGTGAGTTGCAGAGAAGAAGAGAGAGATACGCATGCTATCCACCAATTCACTCCCCTGGTGCCTGTGACAGTTCAGGACTGGGCAAAGCTGTGAACTCAAACGGGATCTTCACCTTGGGTGACAAGGACCCCAACTATTGGAGCTGTTCCTGGTACCTCCCAGGATTGTGTTAGCAAGAGGTTTTGGAATAAGGATCCAGAATTGATTAATAGAGCACTATGATGTACAATTCAAATTGGCAGCTCAACTGCTAGACCCAAATAGCTAGAATACCTGCCCCCAGACCTGTGGTGTTTTTGTTTTGTTGTTTTTTCTTTTAGTGCCCTATCTGTAATGTGCATCTGGTTATCACTTTTTTTCCCTCAACGTGACTAATTGAGGTGTTTTTAAATGAACAGATATCTCTGTTTTTACTACAACTTCTTATTCTCACCTTATTTAGCCTCTCTGATATAAGAATGTTGCATTTATAGTTCATGAGATGGATTGGGTCTCGTCTATATTCTCACTTTTCAGACAGTGCTTCAGGGTCACATATGTACATGTGTCCTTTAAAATATGCTTCTAAAATGAAAGGTAAAAGAGTTTATGCAATTTTCATTTTAATACCAAGTGAGAAGAAAATATAATGTATTCTTGATGAATGGGGTAATCTATACTAGGTCCTAATGAGTAGAAAGGTTTTGTTTCTTCTTTTAAAACATTTATTTATTCATTTATTTTGTTTGAAAGAGGTCTTGCATCCTCTGGTATACTCCGCAAATGGCCACGTTGTCCAGGACTGGATCAGACCAAAGCTGAGAATCAGAAAGTCGGATGGGCTCTTCTCCGTGGGTCGCAGGGCCTGAGGCATTGAGGCATCTTGTGCGGCCTTCCCAGGCAGAGTGTCAGGAAGCTGGGGTGAGAGGAGAATAGCCAGGGCCAGAACTGGCACTTTGGTAGAGAATGCTTACATCACAAGTGAAAAGTTAATCCATTTTGCCACAATACCTGCCCCGTGATAGGAAGGTTTTCTGTAAATAGAGGTGCTTTAAGAATAGTTTAAAAGCGAGTGAGAGAGAACATGGTATTAGAAAATTGTTCAGTTCTTCAGGTAAGATCACCATGACCAACTTCACTACACTTGCACTGTGACGTTAGGTCTATCTCCATCTCCCATGAGTCTACCTCATTCATTCCCAAATAAATGCGCTTCAGAAGAGCCCTGATATTTATATATTTTTTCATCACAATTAAACTTATACATACATAATAAAAAGCATAAATCATAATTGTTATAATTCACTCACTTTACAAAAACATTCACTTGTTAAGATGTAGAACAGTTCCATCTTTTTAAAAGAAAAATGTTTTTACTTCTTCCTTCTCATGCAGCCCTTCCTCTGCATCTCAAGATCATTGTTATGATTTAATTTTTAATCTATAAAACCTACTCTTGCTATTAATTTTCTTTATCGAAATGAGGTAGAATTTCATTCTAGTTCACTATTTGCTTAGAGCTGGATCTCCTGGTATGTGGTTTTTTTGTTTGTTTGTTTTTGACTTTGTTTGCTTTTGCAGCCTTTATGGGTTGTGTATGTATCTTTGACAATCCATTTATGGCCTGTAAAGCACAATTTAATATGAGATGCAACTCGTGCACAAATAGATTTTGATTTAGCCTAACACTTTGTCTTTGTGCTGTAATTAAAAAAGAAAAAGATTATTTATTTTTATTGTAAAGGCAGATTTACAGAGAGGAGAGACAGAGAGGTCTTTAGTTCATCTTCCTGGGGTAAACTCCCCAAATGGCTGCTATGTGGCAGTCAGGAACCAGGAACCAGGAACTTCTTCTAGGTCTCCCAGTTGGGTGCAGGGTTTGGGGCCTTCCTGCACTGCTTTCAAGGGCCATAAACGGGAAGCTGGGTGGGAAGTGAGGAGCTGGGACACAAATCAGTGCCCATATGGGATCCCGGTGCTTGCAAGGTGAGAATTTAGCCATTGAGCTACCCAGGCTCTCATGCTGTAATTTCAATAACATTTACATTTCTACAGACTCTAATAGTTTTGGATATTTTTCTCTAAGCAATCTAATGTATTATCAAAGTCTTGAGAAAAATTTTCTATTTAACATTTTCTAGTGCTGTTTGTTTTTTTCCCCCAGAAGTTCATACAAAATGTGAATTGGAACTCCATCCCGACTTCAACTAGGCTATTTGGAATCTGTCCCACATATGTATAATTCAGACATCAACTGGAGATTTGGGGAGAGAGAGAACATGTATTCAGAATTTGAAGTTTTCCTTCTGTGCTTGTTTTCTAGGATTTTCTCCTTTGTAAATCTCCATTGTCCAATAGAACTTTTCTGCAGTGGTGGGATTGTTCTACAATCTGTATTGTCCCAAATGGTACCGTGTCTGACTGTTGGTTTACTTGAAATGTGTCTAGTGCAATAAAGATACATATTTTTACTTTAATTAGTCTACACTTAGATATTGTCACATTTGACTAGTAGATACTTTATTGGCACTGTTCTCAGTGTTGTTCTGTCTGGATTTTAGCTGACCTGTATATACAGTTAGATTAAGGCCCTTGCTTCTGTGAAAAGGTATAAAAAGGTAGGAAGCTCGAGCATTCCGTTCTCTTCATTCTCACTGTGAGCTTTTCCATTTATGACTGGTTTTAATTGCTGTCCTTATTTTCAAACAGTTTTATGTTTTTGTATTTTATAAATATAGCTGTATTGATAAGAGCTCCCCTACAATTTACCAGAAGCAGAACTCTTTGTCTTCTACCTCCTAGTCATTTTAGTAGTAAACAGTAAATAAGTTTAGTTGCTTAATCCTATACCTGTTTAAATGAAAGATGTTCTTAGAGACTTGTTTTTCTGTTTTTTGTAATATTCATTTTAAACTTTGCTACACCCTTTTAACCTTATAAAAGTATCACTAACCTTTAAGGTTACTGAATCATAATATTCTGAATTTGATATTCCTGTCTCTGGTGTGCTAGCATTTAATGGAATTCTTCAAAGCAACAGGCTCATATCATTGATAACTTGTTTGGTGCCTTCCAGGTACCTGAAAAGGTTTAAAGTGATGAAGATCAAAGTTCTGAGAAGCTGGTGCCGGCAGATCCTCAAAGGACTTCAGTTTCTTCATACTCGAACTCCGCCTATTATTCACCGTGATCTTAAATGTGACAACATCTTTATCACTGGCCCTACAGGCTCAGTCAAGATTGGAGACCTTGGTTTGGCAACCCTGAAACGCGCTTCTTTTGCCAAGAGTGTGATAGGTATGTTTCAAATATACCTGGGAGCCAGACTGGGCTTCTGATTTCTTTTATTTGGAAACTTGACCCTGTCAGAGCTTTTATTAAATAACACAAAACTTTGTAACTTGAAGCAACAGCAGGATCAGTTCTACTTATGGGATTTGGAATTCTCTGAATTTATGCCTGTAGAATTATTTTTTGAACTGTTCATGTTTTATAATGTTAAATGCAGAGAAGTAACATAAACCTTATTGACAAAACCTCATACGGTAGTCTCATTGAGTCATCCTGTTGATTCTTAATATTATGCAGTGGTTTTGTAACTAATGTGTTTTTCCTTCGTATAAGAATTGGAGTTTTTTAACAGGCATAATGGTAGGGAGAAAGATCTTTTCTTCCACTGATTCATGATACTTCCAGTGTAAGTCTCGCATGGCTACACTGAGCAGTGCTGGGCCAGCCCAAGCTGTAATGCCATCCCACCTGGATGGCATTACAGGGGTCCAGATATTTGGAACATCTGCTAGCTTTCCGTGTACAACAATATGGGATACCAGTGTGAAGTGGCAATTAAACTGGTTTTGCCATAACACACACTCCAGAAATAGAAGTTGTATGTAGTTTAGTTTCTAAAATGTCTGTTGGATATATGTATTCAAAAGTGTCTGCCTGTTAAAATGGAAAAAAATGTGAAATTATAATAGTAAATTCTGAAAAGTTGGTTTTATATGCTTTTCACTTTGATTCATTCAAATTTTTGGTATTAAAACAGTTTTTTAATGTCAGTAATTCTGGAATTTTGGATTGTACAGTTCTTTTTGTTGTTGGAAGCTGTATTTTGTGTGACAGAATTATTTAGCATCATTGCTGGCTTTTGTCCATTGAATACTGCTGGCATACTCCCTGCCTGTACTTCTAGTCCCAACTTCAGATGCTATTCTGTGTCTTCTTCTGGGGAAAAATCACCCTGTGTTGAGATTCTAAAGAGTAAAACTACCTTTTCAGAGTCAAAAAGTTACAGCTGGGAAAATAATTTAGTCCCTGTTTGATAAACTTTTTTCTCTCTTAGGACTGTATCAAAATTTAAAACCTTAAAATATTTAGATCTATTTTATTCTCCTTAACAAGTAGCAACTGAGGAAACCCTCTAATTTTTATTTGGGCTAGAATCCTTGATATTAATAGGAAAAATGTTAGAACATTAGCAATTTGCACATTTAAAAAATTTATATTCTCAGAATATTATGTAAGCATGATTTAGAATGCTGTTTTTACATTTTCTTATAATACATGAACAAATAAGATGAAAAGAAATTATTTATAATAGAATTTCCTTTTTGTATTCTTCACAGGAAATATTTCTGTGATTCCAAAATCTCCATAGATCTTAATCTCTAGATCTAGATGTTTTGTGTTTTTGTTCTTGTTGATTTGCAGTGCACAAATCTGTTCTTAGAAATTCCTTACACTTTTAGACTCATAATTTAGAGTATTACAAAACCTAGTCTATGGATTCTCACACACTGTTCATAAGCCAGTTTGTATTCAGGTTCTGTGTGTGTGTGTGTGTGTGTGTGTTTGTTTGTTTTGCCTGTAGAATTCTCCTCACTGTATATCTTCTGTCAGCAGTAGGCTTATTTGTGTGGAAGGGTAAGTATATGAAGAAAAGGGCTTTGGTGAGTGGCCTTTGTAGGTAGCTGCACTTTTATTTTTGAGAACCTAATGATTATTGAGTTTTTCATTGCAAGCTCAATTTTCAAAATGAAACTGCTGTCAATCTTCAGGCGAGAATCTGATTGTAAATGTCTGCCTTACAGTTCCCATACAGCAGGGGGCAGACAAGTATTTTGATCTTTTTTAACCCATTGTTGTATCTTACAGTTACATTCCTTCATACTTGCTTTATACTTTGGTAGTTGGTTGCATTTTCTTTCTATTTTCAATGTGAGTTATGTTACTTTGACATATTATATGGCAGGATCCTTTTAAGGAGTACAGAAATGGCCAGTAGACCGTGTTCCAACTTCTTGTGAAGGCCAAAGAGTAGTTCTTCTCTAAGATATTTGATGAAAATACTAAAAAGATTTTTCCCTCCCCCCCTTCCCTGATTTCTTTTGTTCTTCCTTTCTTTTCCCCTTCCAATTTTTTCTCTCCACAGGTTGACCTGTGCTTCTCCCCACCCCTCAGTGAGTGACGTCTGCCAGCTTCTGCTCACACTGAGTCTGAATCGTTCTTTTAATTTAAGGTACCCCAGAGTTCATGGCCCCTGAGATGTATGAGGAGAAATACGATGAATCCGTTGATGTGTATGCTTTTGGAATGTGCATGCTTGAGATGGCTACGTCCGAATATCCATACTCTGAGTGCCAAAATGCTGCCCAGATCTACCGCCGAGTGACCAGTGTAAGTCTCCCCTAACTGTTGGTGATCTGGAGTCAGATCCAATGCAGTCTTCAGCTGAATAACATCAAGTCATACAAAGAGAGCGGTAGTAGAAAGCACACTGAGGAAGGTGTTAGAGGGCAGAGAAGGGTGATTGAAAGTGGGACAAAGAGCCTTCAGTTTATCCTGGACCTTGCTTGTATTCATTTAAACTTTTGTTATTATACAAAACCACCTATTGAAGAATTGTTTTATTTATTTGAAAGTTAGAGAAAGATCTTCCATCCACTGATTCACTCCGCATATGACCACAGCATCCTGAAGAATGAAGCCGGAGCTTCATCTGGATTTCTGACACGATAAGCAGAAGCACAAGCTCTTGCACTAGCCTCCGCTGCTTTGCCAGGGCATTAGCAGGAAGCTAGATCAGAAATGGGTCAGTCAGGACTCACACCAATGCCCATATGGGATTCCAGCATTGCAAGCTAATGCTTAACCTGTTGTGCCACAGTGCCAGCCCCTCATTAACTCATTTCTTAAACTGAAGCCAGGAACTGAGTATGCAATTAAGTAATGCATGTTTCCCACACGATGGCAGGAAGCTAGCTACTTTAGTCATCACCCCTCTTCCCGAAGAGTCTACATTGACATTCCTGTCAGAGCTGGGACTCGGTGAGAAACACTGATTTCTAGATTAACCACCCACAACTGGACATATTTTTAATGATGCAGTTTCATTGGATTTTAACATATTAGGAGGTCTGATTTTTAAATTGCATTTTAGGAGCAGGACTTGTGACACAACAAGTTAAGCCACTGCCTGGGATTCCCACGTCCCATATCAGTACTTTTTGAGTCTTGACTGCTTGCTAATGAACCTGAGAAGGTTGCAGAAGATGGCCCAAGCACTTGAGGTCTGCCTTCTGAGTGGGTCGGCTGAGTGGATCTTTAGGCTCCTGCCTTTGTCCTGGGCTTAGCTGTTGTGGATATTTGAAGAGTCAACCAGCAGACAGAATATCTTTTTCAGTCTCGTGTCTCTTCGTTTTGTCACTCTGTGTTCCAAATAAGTAAATTTTTAAATTGTTTATTTAGATGTTGATAGCTGATCAGAATGTAAACTTGATTTATTTTTGAAAGCCAATGGGAAACATTCAATTTTTAATAGATCAAATTAATTTTTAAAAGACTATTTATTTGATAGTCAGAACTACATTAGGAGAGATACCATCCATTCATTGGTGTAGTCCCCAGATGACTGCAAAGGCCAAGCCAAAACCGGAAGCCAGGAGCTTCATGTAGTCTCCCATATAGGTTATAGGGCCCAGGCACTTGGTACGTATTCCACTGCTTGTCCCAGACTATTATTAGGAAACTTGATTGGAAGTGGAACATCCTGGACATGAACTGGCAGGTATTTGAAATGTCAGCCTTGCAAGTGGCAGCTTAACACACTGCGCCATAATGCCAGCCTTAGATGAAATTTATTTTACATCTTGACAAAGATTGGAAGAAATTTTGTAATCAAAGATGAATTATAAGGGTCAATACTGTGCCATTTTATATATATATATATATTTTTTTTTTTTAAATTTATTTTTGTTGATGTTTACATAGTTGATCAGATAGGCCTTTTTTTTTTGGAGAATGATGTAAAGTTTAATGATAATGGGTTGCTCTCACATGGGTGCTGGGGTGAATCCTGACTACTCCACTTGGATGCATCTGCACGCTTCAGGACTGAGAAAGCAACCACTGGACAATCTCTTGCTATCGCACTCTCTGTAATTCTTTCTCAGTAGCTGTGACTTTCAAGTAAAACAAGTAATCTTTAGAAAAAAAATAGTTGGTTGTCATTGCTATGAATATTCTCTTATTTATTATTTAAATTATGTAAGTATTATATGTAATTATTCTTTCGCCGTGAGATTCTGCTGTGTGATAGACGTGGAGCTTTGGACAGTTAATTCAGTATGAATGGTAAGAGCCAATACTGTTTTCATATTCAGTAAAAACAAGCAAAAAAAAAAAAACTTGAAGGCAACATCTCTCTTAAGTTACTTCTGGTGTTAGAAGTATAGGCTGTCTTATCATTTCCTGCTGTGTCTGAGTCTCCAAGTCTGTCCCAAAGCCTTACAATTGTATTTCTCAACCTCTTTTCTTTACCTACTTATCCCAACTGTCTCTGAGATATTCTAATCATGAAATACTTATTCTCAATTTGAGCTCAAGAGAGACTGGAAAATGTGTTTTATTAATCCTTCAGATAATTCTAATAAGTGCTGTAATTGTTATTCTATAGTTACATTAGAAAGCTTACAGATCTTGCCCGTCCAAGTTCTGTGTCTTTGTTCCCAGTTCAGGTATCTTATTGTTCTGTGTCCTTCCAACAAAAACTTGCATAATACTAATTTACCTGTTCCCTTTTTGGTAAGTTCCAATTTTATTTAGTTTGAAGTCTCAGGAGGTGTATTTGATTCCATTTTTTAACCTCCTGCTTCTGTTCTACCGTGTTCTACTTTACAGGTATCTCTTAGGCAAATTTTCTTCATTCCTACAGCTACAACTCTGATTTCATATCTTCATCACTTCATATCTTGTGGGTTTGTTCACATTATGAACTTGTTTGTTCATTTCACCTAAACTGGTTGAACTTTCTCTGCTTACTTGGTATAAAAAGGTTATGTGATACTAATTTGGGTGTGTCAAAATAACAACGGATTCTTTTCCTCAGAAAGATTTATAGGGCAGCATTGTCGTATAATAGATTGAGACACCATCTGCAGTGCCAGCACTCAAAATGGGATTATTATTTTTGAAACAAATGTGAAAGTAGAAATATAAACTAGATTCAGACCTGAGAGAAAATTACTTTAAAAAATTTTTTTTTTGCTGTGGATCAAAGGAGGTTTACAGATTGGTCATGCTGTGTGAGTGATGTTATTATAGGTGTTTGTATTATATAACTTAAAGTAGATCACTTCTCAGCTTTGATTTATTTTTATTGGAAAGTCAGATATACAGAGAGGAGGAGAGACAGAGAGGAAGATCTTCTGTCCATTGATTCACTCCCCAAGTGACTGCAATGTCCAGTGCTGTGCCAATCCGAAGCCAGGAGCCAGGAGGTTCTTCCAGGTCTCCCACGTGGGAACAGGGTTCTAAGACTTTGGGCTGTCTTCGACTTAAGCCACTATGCCACCACCACTCTGGGTCCAGTAGTTTTATTTTTAATATATATTTTTTTTACATAGTTGGGGAGGATGCATGCCCATGTGGGCCTTTGGTTAGGGTGGGGAGAGTCAGGTATGGAGGAAGGTGGGTGGAACACATGCTACAGTCTTTATTTTTCCCCTGCTGTGTCTGCATGGGAGGAAAGGGAGAGGGTTGCTCCTTGCTGTCAAACCACACCAGCAGCTAGGGATGGGACTGAGAACCTGATGTTTGTGGAAAGTGTTCCCAGGGTGTTACTTGAATGGTTTTGATAGCCCTGAGACATTATCAGTTTCATTACTTCAGGGTTGAGAAAATCTTTCTGAGATCTGTTGGTTGATGAAGTCCACCTTAGTGTATCCACAGACCCAGGAATGTTGTGCAAAGCTTGGCTAGAAGACTTGTCTAACCTGTGATGCTTTCCATCCTCTGAAGAGGCAGTTGACTTTTCCTGCTAGCCTGGATAACCTGGCAGTCATGTCCCACACATGCCTCTGAACATGCTGTCTGTCCACAGGCATTTTCAGCTGAGGAGGCCATCTTGATACATACCCTCCATGGTTGAACTACACATCCTGTGACTTTCCTTGTGACCAGGATCTGAGTCCAGCAGTCCAGCCTGGGAGCCCTCACCTGGGGTGACTTCAGCTTTGACTCTTGTGTTTGCCACCCATTGCAGGATCAGGTTCAGGCTGTCTCCTGTACCAGTCAACACACATACCAGTGGATGCAGCTTGGTCAGTTCCACCTCAGCCCCTTATTTCACGTGAACTGATGGGTAATATTGGCCAGTTCAGTCACCCTGCCACAGATCTGGTCCTTTTGCATACCAGCAGGTGCCATGGCCTAGTTTGGAGTGACCCCTGATTACCCTCTGGCAGGCCCACCCTCAACCCCAGTTTTTGCACTTGCCAGCATCTGCTGTGGCCTAGCCCAGCCCAACCCACTTGCCGTCTGGTGCTCCTGCACACCCAGAGGTGATGTGGCTTAGCTCAGCCTGAGCCGCGCTCAGTCCCAACCTTCATATATGCTAACAGGTAGTGCTAGCTTGTCAAGCCTGGCCTGCCCTCCGCCCTGGTTCTTGTGCTCACCGGCGATAGGTGCAGCCTAGCAGGGGAGTACCCATTGTTCCCTTGCCAGGCATGTTCCCAGGCTCCAGATCATTCACCTGCAAGGGGATACTGCAGTCCAGTCTTGCTACTTGCTGGCAGGTGCTGCAGCCTAGCTTGGCTGGCCTGCACCAGTTCTGGCTCTTGTGCATGCCAGTGGGTGCAGCTTCCTAGCCCAACCTGGTCTGCCCCCAGACCAACCCAGCTCTCATCTCACCAGTGGAAGCAGCAGCTCAGCAAGGGAGTCCCCAAGGTTCCACTACCACACCTGCTGCCATTCAGGTCTTGCATGAGCCATCGAGTGCTGTGGCCCAGTCTGAGATGCCTGCCCCCAGTCTTGGCATTCACCGCTACAGCATGGCTTATCCCAGCTCACCTTAAGTCCCAGTTTTCCCCTCCCAGCCCCACGTTCACCAGCTGTCTGAACTGGCAGGTGTCATGGCACTAGTGGGTACTGGAACATAGCCTACTTTGTTCCTCCCCCAGACCAGGCACATGTCAATTGATGGATGCTACAGCCTTGCCCAATCTGGTCTGCTCACAGCTCAGACTCACACTCACCAGTGGGAGCTGCAGCCCAGCAGAGAAGTCCCCAAGAGTTCTCCTGTTAAGCCCATTTCCATCCCTGAGTCTCGCTGGTGCTTCAAACCAGCTTAGCATGGCCCACCGCAGTTCACAGTTTCAGCTCTCACTGGTGGATATTTC